ATGCTCACCACACATCAGCTGTCAGTGGGGAGGAGATCAGAGTAATGTAGCCAATTCACAGAGGGGGATTCATTAAGAGGCCATGATTGGTAAAGGCCAATGGGAAATTGACACCCCTACTCTTTTCGAGAAACGCCCTGGGATTTTTAATGATCACAGAGAGTTAGGACCTCGGTTTTACATCTCATCCGAAGGACGGCAATTGTTTACAGTATAGTGTCCCCGTCACTATACTGGGGCATTAGGACCCCCTGTTGGCCCCACTAACACCACTTCTAGCAGCAACCTTAGTTTTTCCCAGGAGGTCTGCCATCCAGGTAATGACCAGGCTCACACCCGCTTAGCTTCAGTGGGTTACCAGTTGTGAGTTGCAGGGTGATATTCTTCCAGGTCTTTGCATATATCTTTCATTTAGGAACTGAGTATGTCTACAAAAGTAACATATCTGATTTGTTGTTAAATGAAGTAACACACATCAAAAGCAAAAAAAAAAAATAGCGCTTTTGAGGACAGGAACTACTCATTCCTCATCTGAGGTATTACAAATGAGCTCTGCTGTTTTGGTGGTAGCCTTCTTTGCTATCCCTGTTGCACCACTGACAACCAAGCACCAAGTGTATCCAGTGTATACAGTTTGCTACTAACTGGCTATAAATTACCATATAAAAGTTAAAATATATTATTGTTAAACTAATCTAATTTAAGCTATCTCATTGTTTTTGTTTGCTCTCTGGGGAGGCAATGGTTATCTATGTAGTGGCTTATTAACACTTGACTGATACTACAGCTTTGTTACCCTGTTCCCTCTTAGTCGTATTCCTAATACCCCATGATGCCTTAACTTTAACTCCAAATGTATTTAGTATTTCCTAACTATTTCTTCCTCATTTTGATCAAATTTTAAAAAACACCCTCTTGCTTGTGTTTTTCTCCAGTGATATTACTGTACATTCATATATGGAATGAAGACTCTCCTGAACCCAGATTGCCTTTTTTCATCCTTGTGTACTTCTATTGTTGTACAGCCTTGCAGTGTTACAATTCTATTCCACACAGAGAAACAAGGACACCATTTTAAAATTGATCTTTGCATTACTTAAAGTAAAATCATAACCTTATGGCTAGATTCACCAGATATGGATTATTGGTATGAATTGTGATATTATTATCCTCCGGCTAAGGCTTTTACAATAAAGGAAAGTGTAATACTTACAGAAAGGAGACTTTTTTGGGAAACAAAAGGAAAGGAAGGCAGAATTACCAAAAAAACATAACTTCAAAGATTAAACATAAAACAGATGCGCTAAAAACAATAAAGCCACATAAAACAGTTGTGATATTGGTACCTGTTGCAACACTGTCTACCTATGTATGCCTCCTGCTAACTCCAATGGCATTGACCTCTTACTACAGAGGATCATGGTATGTCTTTGGTAACTACTGTACATGTGTTCTGGCAAAGGCATCTCTTTCTTTCATGCTGGCTTACCTCGACTGTAAGGCTCTTTGCAAATAAGCCCTTCATACAGTACAGTATGTCTTGAAGACTCAGCTACCCTTCCTATCATTTTTAGTTCGTTTTTGCACTTGCACCATTCTCTGTTCTATTCTCTAACCTCCTCTTACCTCTGTGCTGTAAAAGTGGCCCTAAATAGCCCAGTGCCTATGGAAATACAATACTTATCTTATTTGCTTCTCCTCAAGAAGTTCCTGATACAGGACGCAGCCACACTGCAGAGTACTTGCCGTGCCATGTGTCGATTATTTTACACCACACGATACACTTTTACAATACATTATTCTTATATTACCTCTGAAATTTCATATTCACCTTTCCTGTTGTCACTTCACCTTTTTAGAGAAGCAGTGCTCCTGGGTCTTGTTCAGCCATCAGTAAAAAGTGATATTTTCCATTAATAAAAGTAACAGACCTGCATGGTCTACTTCAGCAAACAATGACGACACGTTAAATTTGACATAGGCTGCTGACTGCCCCATTATTTCTTCTATACTGTAAATAGCAAAAAAGGCAGAGTGGTTCTATGAACAATAAGCAACTTCTTTTTACAATAATCAAGGCTAAAGAGTACAAATAAAGCTAAAATAACATGTCTTGGAAATGTACACAGAGAAAACAAGTTATACAGTACAAAAAAAAGAGCAGCATTCTTAAAACTTCAGCAAAATCAGGTATTGACTTTGGTCAGTGAGTTATGACCACCCGGGACCCCATCCACACCAGGAAAAAAACAAAAAAACAAATTCTTGAAGAGGTATTGGTATGTAAAACGCCGACAGAAATATCCAATCACTTACAGACTCATTTGTCAGAATATGGACCTTCAGGAACAGTAAAAACAGTGCCACACAAATTAACAATGGCTATAAGAAACCTCTAACTGGCAGGACCAACAGTAATTACAATAATAATAATTGCTTACACTTATAAAGCACTTTTCTGGACACTCCACTCAAAGTACTTTACAGGTTATGGGGACTCCCCACAACCACCACCAATGTGCAGCATCCACCTGGATGATGCGACGGCCAGAACGCTCACCACACATCAGCTATCAGTGGGGAGGAGAGCAGAGTAATGAAGCCAATTCATAGATGGGGATTATTAGGAGGCCATGACTGGTAAGGGCCAATGGAAAATTTGGCAAGGACGCCAGGGTTACACTCTTTTTGAGAAACCCTGGGATTTTTAATGACCACAGAGGACGGCGCCTTTTCATAGTATAGTGTCCCCATCACTATACTGGGGCATTAGGACCCACATGGACTGCAGGGTGAGCGCCCTCTGCTGGCCCCACTAACATCTCTTCCAGTAAGAACCTTCGTTTTTCCCAGGAGGTCTTTCGTCCAGGTACTCACCAGGCTCACACCTGCTTAGCTTTAGTGGGTTAATAGTTGTGAGTTGCAGGGTGATATGGCTGCTGGCTAATTAATTGCCAGGGATCTTTTATAAAGAAGTTACTTCCATGAAAGGATAGAGGTAAAATGCTCAGAACTGATAAGGACTGTTCTTCAAAGGCACAAAACAGATTTACAGTATTCTGTGTAATAGAAAAGGAAAATCTTTAACTTCGATTATATTACTATTCGTAAACATACAGAATGTCAGTTTTGACTATTTTTAGTAATACCAATGATACAATGTATTACATTATTTCATTGTTAGATTTGGCTGTTGTTATTTGCTTCTGCCATATGGCTCTAAGTGCATAATGTGAAGCTTACAAAATAGGGTAAATACATTTGGTTCTCTCTTACAGAAGACAATTCTTACAAGAATTTCACATACCATGCAAAACATATGCAAAATGTAAGTGTATGCCATTTCCAGAAGTGTAACCATGGCAATTGATCAAACTAGAATAGTGGCCTGAATGTCCTCGTTTGCAAAATGTCTTTTGTTTTTATTCATGCCGAGTTTAACAACCACTGTTGCATTACAGCAGGTCAATAATGTTGCTTCTAAGTTAACACTGTACAGGACTGATATTTCGTACATGTTCCTTCGATAATTTACCACTGCATAATATACTCTGTATTATCTGTATTAGTTTTTATCTATTCTTACTTCTAAAATCCTAACAAACATTTTTGTTAGCATATATAGTATGTTTTATTTGTAAAATTGTGACACTTCCTATAGTGGGATTACACCCTCATTAAACTTAATATAGTTTTTAAACTTAAGAGAGCTCAATGCACAAAGAGGGCTCAGCCACTATCAGTCACACAAGATCACATGCTTTCAATAGACAGACCAGTGTCAGTAGCTCTGAATATTTTAAGGATTTTAATAATGATACAAAGAATAACAAAAAAAGATTGATTACACTTCTCTTTTTTAACACATTTATTTTTTTAAGTGTATGTAAAAAATTCTTACATATATCAGAAACATTTCATTTTCTGTGAGTTTCTGGAACAACAGCTACACTATTAAAAACACATTCATGCTAAGAGTTTGAATTAGATATATGGGATATAAACTTTCAGAAAAAATAATTACAATAGGATGCTGGAAAAAATGAGTTGACTGCATGGTATAGATTGTGTATCTTCTTATAGAAGTAGAAAAATTAAATAAATGTTCCTTACTTCATAGGAAATGTCTAATCTCAGAAGCTGGCAGATTCAAAGCTGGTGTAATGCCACTTTATGCTACCTTGTCATAATTTCTTAGTGGTAGCAAAATGTGGCCCGTACAGTTATCAGAATTTAAACCTCATAAAAAATTCCTACAGGAACTAAAATGTTGTCTCAAAGTATAAATATTTGTTGCAAGCAGGAAAGGGAAATAATTTAAATAAATAAATATGAAATCCAAGCAGTTGGTACAATTTGAGGCAGCTGAGTTCTTTATTCTCTGTCACAGCTGCAGAGACAGAGTAATAAATCAGATCAAATACTGTGTTGCTGAAACCACACAACTACACAACACTAAACAAAAACACACATACCAGTTACACTATATACAAACCAAAGTGTCTCCAAGGCCTATGTTCTACAGATCTACACAAAAGGCTAGCCTTTTAACCTGAAAGACATATCTTTCAAAAATTCAACCCAAGACTAACTGTAACTGCCTACAACCTGGACGCAAGCAGTGAATGTAAATCTATCTCCCTATTTTAAAGATGCATCACCAAGTAGGAGAGAATATCTTTATCCTGAGAATTTCTCCACTAAAGAAACCTGAATTTCTTAAATTAAAAACTGTAGGATCACAATCTCTTTATAATATCGTACAGATAACATAGCCAGAAGATTTCCATCAGAAAATGGTCCTCTCAGCTGGCACAAGATTTGAGCAGGAGGATGATGGTAGTGTTTCTTCTTTCTGTCTGTCTTCTGATTCCTTCTTTACTCTTCTGTTGCCTTCTATCCTCCCTCTCTCTTCCTGTCTTTTTGTGCCATGTTTCTGTGTATTGAGCCTTCAAATCAAGAAACTGATTATCTAGGGTAAACTGCAAAATCCTTTCATCATTGGTGTTCACCTACCTGTAAACTCACCTGAAACTAAGCAAATGCCTGATTCTACCCACTGTTCCCAGGCTCCTTGTTTAGGCTTTAATTAGAGCAATAAGATATTAAATGCAAAATATAGATTTAATGACCAAATCGTGGATTGTAACATACTGATGACTGTGTTTGAAAAGAATAATCTAAAAGCATGTACTTTGTTACTCAGGAAAAATGTTTTTATATATGTTCAAAAGTGTTAAAGACAATGATTCATCCTTCAAGAGCTGAAGCCTATCCAGGCAAGCCAGGGGCACAAGGCAGGATACACCCTGGATGGGACACAAGTCCATTGCAGGGAACACACACAAAATCAGACATGTACACACTCACATAGATTTTCACAGAAGCCAGTTAACCTACAGAGTGTCTTTGTACTGTGGGAGGAAATCGAAGCACCTGGAGGAAACCCAGACGAGCACGGAGAGAACTTACAAAGTCCGTGCAGATAGAGCACTAGGTACACAATTGAACCCAGGGCCCTAGCACTATGAGGCAGCAATGCTGACCACTGCCCCACTGTGCTACCCTGTGATCATCACAAGACTTTCACAAGATCACAAGATGCTTTCCATGCCATTCAACTGTCAGGAAAAGGCTACAAAGTAGTAACACAGCTACTCTATAAGTAGCAAGTAATAGGTTTATTCCATGCTGAAAAAAAGAAGAAAGAGAACACAACGTTTCGGCCGTGGAGCCTTCTTCAGGTGTGAGAGAGACAAGGCAGTAGGCAAAGGTAAAGTACCGGGAGAACAAAGGTTGGGAGGGAGGAGGAGTGAGAGGCGGGAGCAGGGGACAGAAAGAGAGGCCAATCAAGAGGTGTGAAGTCAGAATGGGTGCAGAGAGGTGTGAAATGAAACTTCCAATGAATGGAGAAAATTTAAAAGAACAGTAATCTGTCATTAAGGGAAGGGAGAATGTGTGATCCTAGCTGCAGAATAATTTTAGTTTCGGTGGTCTTTCTGACACCAGGGGACAGAAAGAGTAAAAGTTGTGTTCTCTTTCTTCTTTTTTTCAGCATGGAATAAACCTATTACTTGTTCCTTTGCAGCCTACGCATGCTGACGCAGCTACCCACCTGAACTACTCTATAACTCGGAGACCGCTTCAGAGAACACGTCAGGGCTGTGAAGATTAAAGATCTCTCCAAGCCCATTGTTTCTCATTTCACCTCTGACGGCCACGACCACTCTAATCTCTCCGTCTGTGTTCTCTGTGTTCTCGGTTTTCCGAACTCATACATCAGAAAGACCACCGAAACTAAAATTATTCTGCAGCTAGGATCAAACATTCTCCCTTCCCTTAACGACAGATTACTGTTCTTTTAAATTTTCTCCATTCATTAGAAGTTTCATTTCACACCTCTCTGCACCCATTCTGACTTCACACCTCTTGATTAGCCTCTCTTTCTGTCCCCTGCTCCCGCCTCTCACTCCTCCTCCCTCTAAACCTTTGTTCTCCCGCTACTTTACCTTTGCCTACTGCCCTGTCTCTCTCACACCTGAAGAAGGCTCCACGGCCGAAACGTTGTGTTCTCTTTCTTCTTTTTTTCAGCATGGAATAAACCTATTACTTGTTCCTTTGCAGCCTACGCATGCTGACGCAGCTACCCACCTGAACTACTCTATAAGTAGTCATTTTGTTAGCAGCATATCATTATCAATCTAAATTTCTCATTATTGTCTATTAATTGGATTATGAAAAAAAAATGTCATGGTTAATAATTATTTGCCAGTGATTCCAATGCAAGATGAATAGACCAGGGCCGCAAGATCTGACAACTTCTGATCCCCTGTCATTTACTTTTTTTTTCTTTTTAAGAAGGCACCTTATGAAAGTTACAAATGAAAAAGAGTTATGAAAGGATCATAAGATGGGAATGGAATTCTGTATGCTACTCATAGGTAATAAAATTAAAACCAATATGAAACAAACAATACAATTTTTGTCGACTATCCTAGCAGGTTAAAATTAAACAGATCATCAATATAATCCTTAATTGTTTTGGTGAGCTACAAATGATTAATTGTAAAGAATAAGGGAAGTTCACTGAGATGTTTAACACCGTTTTAAGAGTTTTAATGTAGTGAGTTTTAATGTAGTGAGTTATACTGTAGGGGGCGAGTGTCAAGAGAGAGGCCCCGTATCATTCTCTAGGTACCCTTCGCCCCCTGCAGTAGAATTTTCTTACTGCAGCGTTAATATTTTAACAGACCATACAAGGCAACTACTGTACAAACTCTCAAAACATGCATGTAACACACACATATACTCCTCTCCCTACTTATTATTACTATTAAGAAATGCAACGTGTACAATTCCTTAGTGATTTAGTAATGTATGTTTTTTTTCTCCTCATTGTAATATGATCTCTATTGCCATGTATTTGTATGCTAAGAACTTTCAGACCAAGTCGGCGACTTAGGAACCATATTTAAACATCCCCAGCCACGTTAATATTAAAGTTCCGTCTGCAGTCCCTTTTCCAAAATTGTGCAGGCTACCCTCACAGATGTTTTGAGAACCTAAACTTTAAAAAAAACGAAGCACTTAAAAATGATATTTTCTTAATTTAAACATGCTCTTATGTTTAACTGTTGAATAAGGCAGAAGTCCGTATTTGGCCCTGTTATGACCAGCTTTAAACGGTGGACAAAATATACTGGTGTTCCAAAACATGAAAGTCTCCTGCTTCAATTCCATACTTATAAACAGTTTTGTACAGGGAACAATGGAGAAGCGCAGCTCACAGGGTAGTTAAAATTGACGCTACACAGGCTTCTATTTAACAATATGGTCAAAGCTTTATTCCCCCTTAGTGCTTCTCCCAAAAAACATTGTTAAACAAGGAAACCAGAGCACCGAGCAGGGAAGTTATGCATCATTTATACATGAACGTCTTTGACAGCGGTATAACCAGCTGAGCGTATTTAATCCATTTATTGGGACCCACCTTAACTGATGTTTTTGCTGTGAGAGAGAGGGGGAGGAGTTGCACAGCACTTTAAACTGAACTCGAAGCAATCAAAGCACAAGGCGAATAGTATTTAACGTTTTATTGTAAAACTAGCTTAATTTATGTATGTATTATATTTTCTGTGGTTTGTTGTGAAAACGGGATGTGACATGCCCACAGGAGGAAACTTTATGCGTTTTTCAGAAGCTGTAGATGGAAAAAGAATTTAAACATCTTTGTTTAGTGGGGACGGAAGCACAGTATCTCACAACGTCGCTTCAAAGAGTCCTGAGGAGGAGAGAAACTTAGCAGTCATTTTTTTTTATCATTACAACGTGCCACTGAAAGAAAATGCCAGCAGACTCTCAAGAGGATTTGGCAACTCTATCTGATCTGGATGAGAAAAGCTTGTTGGAATCTCTAAGTAATCGATTTCAGCAAAATCACATATATGTAAGTACATTTTCTAAAATACCCTTTAGAGCTTTAATTTCACTGGAGATAGTAATTGGACGGGGATATTGGGCAGTACTGTATGTATATAAGTAACCAACGAAGCAAGAAAAAACATTTCTGAAACTTCATTGACTGACAGTTCTGATCTAGGCTTTTATAATGGTAATAGACGAGTTTATTCAACAGAAATTATCAAAGTAAGGATGGCAATACTGGGTACAAATAATAGAATAGCAAAGGCATGGATGATTGTAATGTAAACTAATGTCTTTGAATTCTATTAAATTTTATTATATTATTCTATTAAATTTCGTATTCCTATCAAATCGGAGGGCGAAAGATATCCTGTTGCTTAACGACTTTATGGAGTCTGTGTGTTGCTGCTTAGCTTGTTAGCCCTTCGGAAGACTAGAGTTTTGTTGGGATAGGGTTGTCCTTCCATCAGATTCTCTTTTGGTTGTGATGTTAGAGTCCTGAAAATCTCATTGTCCATTCACTGACCGTATTCCTTTGCAAAGTACAATATAGTAGAGCGGAAGACAATGGACGCATCATGAAATTTTCCCATGCGGAGTAGTTTAAAAAATATATAGGTGTAATATACTGTATTTGCACAACAAAAATAAGTACGGTATATGAAATGCGTAGTGGCTTTTGTGGTCAAGGATTCGTTCCTTTGATTCGAACAGACTTCTGTAGCCGTCCACTATTTTCCGGTGGACTTCAGAAGGTTAAAGAGCTACTGAAGTTCACATTTCTCTTCAAGTGGCGATTGCATGAAGCTTTGCTTAAGGTGCAGGAGAATGCAGAAAATAATTAGAATTGTTTTAACAAGTTGCTTGACTTTTGACTGTCAGCTGCGGATGGGACTTGTAATTTGTCAGACGTGCCACGTGCCTGTATAAAATGCAATTAATGTTACTTTCAAAATGTGCGTAAACTACAGGGTTTAAGAAGCCTTGTTAGTTCAATACTGAGTGTTTACAATACGCTTACAATACGTTTTTCTCATTCAATAATTTTTCACAAGCACGAGTAGGATACGGTAAACACTACACTATGACTATTTCATTAATCAAGTTTTGGCATTTAACATTTTTTTTAACATTTTGGAACCCTAAAAACCAAGAGTAGTAGAATGATAACTTTGGAATAATTTTCTACAATGATTTTTTTGGTCGCATTAGCACAATGGCACGAAAGGAAGTGTGTTATAATTCTGTAAATTAATTTATGACAGTTTTGATCTGTAATTTTAAAAGGCAAATATTCTGTCTGCATGCCTGTACAACTATGTGCTCAAGACTGACATAGTTTTATGGATGTGTTCCAGCATGCCCTGGAAAAGCCTATAGGAAGAGTTCACATTTTTCAAAAACACAGGAAGAAGAAAGGCATCTCAAAGCAATTAATTCAAAACAGATACTGGATGTGTTTCTAGACTCCCAACTGCATGGCAGCTACATCCATTTAGGAATTTTTAAGATGTATTCTAACAATCTTATTGATTACGTAGAAAATCATTATATTAAGCATAATTTTATTTCTTTACATCTATCAGTGACTGCTTATTCAAAAGGTGGTAGCAAGATGGCATTGTCTAAATACAATTTCACATCTTATCAGCGACAACTTAGTCTAAATGTTTGGTTTTTTAAATGTGATATATTAAGTGGTCTTAAGGGTGTCTAGGAAGACTGTCAGCCAATGGAAAAAGCTGTATTAAGGCCTCAAATATCTAATACCTGATTTTATTTTGTTGAACATAAGCAGCATTCTAGTAGTTTAAGATTTGTGGACAAAAGGCTGGGAGACATACGTCAGCCATAGAGTAACTCATGAAACAACAATTGTCAATTTAAAAATAAAAGTTGAATAATGTGGTTTCCTTGTTTGCAGTCTGGCCTACGGTATGAAGGAGCCACTGTGTGTTATAGAAAAACAAGTTATGTGATGGTTGTTGTAAGTCACTTAAGGAATAAGGGTCTTTCACAAATGTGGTGAACATCTAAAGTTGCACAGCACATATGACAGCGGTTAATTTAGATACAAATAGGAGATCCAAATGTGTTCTTATTAGCTCTATTTTTAATGACCTCATTTGTGCAAATTTTCATATTGCATAATCCACACTATATGTCCGTTCTGCTGTGTTTGTATAGTGGCATAAATGTTGCTGGGGAAACACCAGATTACTGTATGTCACCCAGCTCCTGATGGTAGAACTGATGTTTCTAGAACAAGAGTGCACAACTCCAGGCCTTGAGGGCTGTAATATAGCAGAAATCGTTCTGGTCTGTTTAGAGCTCGGGCACTTCAGGAATTGAAAAAGGTATTAAATTAGTTCCATTAAGATGACAAATGTACCAATTCATTGGTCGAGAGTTGACTGAAATGTGAACCTGCTCACACTACAGCACTCTTGAGCTGCAGTTGTAAAATACTGTTCTAAAGTGACTGTATAGTCTCTGAGCAATGGAACTTCTTTATAATTCATACGTCTGTCAGTCATAATGGACCAAATTAAGTCCCTGCACAGGTTATGGAAAACATATCAATGTGCACATGTGACCGTTTCAGTTCCGCGAGGGCTCGTGCCCTCCACTGCTCTACTCCATCCGTTTCGTCCCGCAACACCTGGGGCGTGAACCCTGGTCTCCAGCGTAAAGCAACGTATCGCATGAGCTAAAGGAGACCTCCCTCAGCCCAGGCAGCTGAGGTCACTGCTACGCGCAGGGAGGGTCATGACGTCACCGTATCCAAACTAGCTCCGCTACACCCACAACCCTCAGTTAAGCCCCATCGTTTTGGTGTTATTCAATGTTTTCATTAAAACACTTTTTCTTCTTTCTTTGTGCCATTGTTCTCCCATTTGAGCCAAAGAGGTCTGACCACAGCATTTGCTGAAGTTATCTTCTACATCGATTTGTTGTAAAAAGCTAACCTTTTCTTCCTTCAGACTGCACTGATTAAGAACTTATTTTTAGCATATGACTGCTGAATGAACCACTTTAAACTTCTGAAACACCTTTTGTATTTTCCATAATTGTTTCAAATAATGTTTGACTTAAAGATTTGTTTAAACGGGAAACTTCTAAACGAGAGGAGGCCATGTGGCCCATCTAACTCACCTGGTAGTTTGTATTGTGGCTAATTGATCCAAGAATCTCATCTAGTTGGTTCTTGAAAGAAGCCACATTCTTGAAAGGTTTCATCTTTAACAGATTAGGTAGCTTGTCCCTTACTCCCACAAACTTTGGTGTAAAGAAGTGCTTCCTCTTCTCACTGAGGTTCCACATAGATATCACCTTTCAGCTCTGGTAAGTGTTTCACTGTTAAATCTGAACGAAATTCGCTGGGTTGACTTGTCGATGTCTTTGAGAATTTTGGAGGCTTGATTCCTTCTGCCTGTCAGTGTAGGATATTCTTTTAAGACCTGGAATGCATCTTCTATGGATTGACCTCAGAGGAGCAATATCTTTTTTTTGTATCTTAATGCTAAAAATCACACACGTATTCTAAATGATGTCTCAGTGATTTCTAACATGCCTTGATTGAAATTGTACACTTTACAACCTATTCTAATATTTTAGCCTTTTTTTATTGCTTCCCCACATTGTCTAAGATGTAAATGAAATGTCACCATAAATTTCTGTCTTTAAAGGTTTAAAAGTTGCTTGAATACATACTTAATATGGACATATAGCTCTTGTCCTCACATTCAAAATCCATGCCACATACTGTTTATGAAGTTGTGCAATGTAGCACTGCCTGAAGACCGCCTGTTCATTCTGAGCTGTTGCCTCAGAAAGTGTTGCAAACCTTACTTCCTGTAAAACTGATTAAAACGAGGGAACTGGTGTTGTGAATAAACTGCAAGAAACATTTTATATTGTTCTTGATGACGGTTTCCTAGCAAAAAATAGTGTATTACCTAGGCATAGTGTGGTAATAGTGACATAGAAACAAATATGTATGCTTTGTATGTGACGTCTGTATTTTTCAAAGTTGCAAACAATTGACCACATTTTAGTTTAGGGATTGCAGCATTGCCCTTTAAAAATGGAAAAATAGTGAGTCAACTGGTAATACATTTAGAAATGGAAAAGGCTACCTTCTGAAAATAACTCCAGGGTGACGGTATGGTGCAGGCTCTGGTTGGAATTGGTTTTGCCACTAACATGCTGTTAATCTACAGCAGAAGTTGCTTATTATTACATTTATGCCACTGTGATACATCTATGCCACTTTATGTATTTGATTGATTAAATGTTTATAATGGCATCAACACCCCCAATATTAAGTGTTACAAAACATGTTTGTCTCCTTCTGTTTTGCAGACATACATTGGGGATATCTTGGTAGCCATAAATCCATTTAAATATCTTCCACTCTATGAAAAAGCGGTAAGTATTTTCCTAAGAGAAACCAAGGAATTATTCTCTTAATTTTCAATTCTTTTTTTTGACAACAAGCAAGTGTTTAAAATAACTTGCAGCACAAGGATAGCAAAACCGTTTTGGAGCTTTATTCCTTGGTGTTATCACTCTTTGTTGTGACGTTTTGTCAGTCAAGCTAACAATTCCTGAATAATGGAGCTGTGTTGCTTGTTTAACCACTCAAGAAATGGTGCTTCCAAGGAATCAACATTTTGTAATTGTGAACTTCAGATGTGTGAACAGTGTTAATATGTAAAAATATTAATGGGTCCACAAATGCCATCCTGTTTTGCAAGTTGTGCATAGTTGGTTTGCTGATCAGATGAAATCATGCTTTCCACAGTAGAGAGTGTATCTGGGCTGACCAAATGCAGGGGCATCCAGGTTTGGATTTGAGTCTCTGCCGTGTTTAAACTCCTTCAACTATCAAGTCACTGTGGAGTAATGTTTCCCCTTATACAGCAACCATATACTCTTGGATTTGCTTTATAGAGTGGTCTTCCTTCACCAAGATTTGAGGTCAAATTGTTTGATTCAGAATGCTGCTTGATTTAAAAGTCCATAATTCATTTACTCAGGAAGGCACAAGACAACCTGGGTTGTATACAACAGTCATTGACTAAGGATCAGAATGAAAAACTTTCTGAACACCCCTCCTACAGTGTGTGCCTAAAGACAAAGGTGATTCCTGGGTGTAGTATTTAATGCTTACAGTTTAACTGGCTTTATCTAGGTAATTCAAAGGTTTAATATGTATTTGAGGTGATTAAGTAATTAAGCAATTCCCTGTTACACCTACAGTTGTGAATCAGTATAATATTCTGACCAAGTTGAGATAAAAAGCAAAATAGTTTTTAGTAATAGATATAAGAAACGTTTTTTTGGAGTTTATTATTGTGGAAAGAAGATGACTGTAAATTTACTTTTACTTTATAATTTAGGATACTATTATATGTAGTATTAAAGAAAGCTCATATAGTAAGTCACTGTTCATTGTATGCCTCCGAATTATTGTTTAAGTTCAGTGTCAATGAGGAACCCATGAAAAAAATAATCAGTTTGTATGAGGCATCTTTGTTCAACCCCAATGAAATCTAGCATGAAACAAATTATTTGTATTTTTTAATAGCTGCTTTGATTTTTTTTGATGGTTGAAATTTTCTTTAGATTCCATCTTGAGACCTAGATTAAATAATATCCACCAGCAAACGACTACCTTTAAACCAGATTTCTCTTAGTGACTATTTGTTCCCGCTTAGTGACTGGATTGAATTGTGGATTTAACATGTACAGATATTGGGGAAAATAGTTGCTGAGATTAGTGAAGAGTTGGTGTTGAAGAGTTGATTGCCTTTGAACAACCCATTCCTTGGATTTTTCCATTGAATGATGATTAGATATTTCAAAACTATTGATAACATTATGAAAGTGATTCATTTGCTGTGCAGTAAGTACTGTTTTTTTGTGCACCCAGGTATCGGAAAAATATAAAAACCATGAAAAAAGCTCTTTGCCTCCCCATATTTTTGCTATCGCTGACAGATCTTACCAGTCCATGCTAGGAAGGCTGGCAACTGGACCCAAAAACCAATGTATTGTTATCAGGTAAGCTTAGTCCTTCATTAATTCCTTGTGTTCTGAGTCTTGTCAAAATGTGGTATTGAAATTGACAGTGTTAAACACCATACCGAGAAGAACATCTCACAAAACACACAAGCACTGCCATGTAAGAAATGTGAGAAGTTCAGAGAATTGAGAAAACTGAAATTGGCCAAGGGGACTTGTGACTTTATTTATTTATTTTTATTTTTTTGGTCCAATGGTTTCCTTTCCTTTTTTAAATTAAATGACACGAAAAAACAGACACACAAATAAATATACAAATAGATGGAAAAAAGCCATCCACTGAATCAGAAAAAAACCATCAAAGATAGTTCAGTTTTTACCACATAAGCACAGATAATCATGTATAGAAAAATCTCTCTTGTTTAAAATAACATCACTCCTTTAACAGAAATAACATTTTTACTCAGTCCCACTTGATTGCTGTCAGGACCTGGGACAGGACAGTGTGTTTCTGAAACATAATGTAGACTGCTTTCTACCAGCCTCAAATCCAAGGAAACAACAATGTTGCTTACGAGGCAGTGCCGGATTTCCTTTCCTACCTTGCTATGCTATGCAATGATGTTCCAGAATCAAGTACTGAAAATGCTCCAAGCCCGTGACCCCAGTCTGCTCTGTGAGCAAGACAGGAGTGATCTATATGTCTGAGCTCTGCAGCGGTGCCTGGCCTTGCCAGGCATTACCACTGCCCTCAAGAGGTGGTAGTTCTAGGTATATATCAACCACATGCTAATACGTTGGTCTTTGGATCCTGCGACCAGCAGCCTCTGACTAGCCTCTGCTGGTCATGCCAAAGCCAAGTTTGTCTGGTCCTCCCGTATAGACAGATAGGAAATCTCTACTGAGACCTGCAGCTGGAGTGTTTGCTCTCCATCAGGTGACCAGTCCCAGAAGATGGTCTCCGCAGAGCCCGCAACACCTCTCAACTTCCCCTGGTTAAAGGTGAGGCACATAAGCAGCTGTTCAAAGCCAGACAGGCGGCTCTACAGCCTCCGCATGGGAAAAATCTACAGCCGTCCTCATGGCCCACAAGTAACCAGGGACTGCAGCCAGAGTCGGGCTGCCAGAGCCTCGGACACATGGGCATGCCCAGCCAAGCCTCTGGGCTCGGGCTGCATACTGGCACCTGCTGGGCAGCACGGACACCCACACATCGGCCATATCTGCTCCGGTGAGCGCTAGCAGCCAGTGTCCTAATTCAGCACAGATCCCTGGTAGAAGCCCCCGCTCCCTACGAAGAGGTAGCTGGTCCACTGGCTCCTCCCCTTGCTCAGGTCCCACGTGCACTCATGCATGTCTAGGCCCAAGCTGGACAGTTACTCGGCCTGCATACGTCCATGTACCAGCCCTGGCTTCAGCACACCTGGAGAGTCACTCCAGCTGCACAAATACGTGCCCCGGCACTGACCTCTTCACACCCGAAGAGACACTCCGGCTATGCAGTTTCAACATGGACTTTAGTATTTTCTAAGGTTGTGCTGTATGTCTGCATACACGTGCTGCATATACACAGAGTTAAACTTAGTTTTTACTTATTTTGGTTTGAAATAAATAAATTTGTATCTTGTAAATCTTGTGTACACTTCCTAGCAGTAAAACAGAACTACAATGCCCCTGCACACTTCAGTTTTGCTGTGTGTTTTCTTATGTACTTACACAGGTAGGGCACACTCTATGAGTAATACTGTATATTAATGTAGTGTTGTATACTGAGGTGTCTAGTCCTTTCTAGAATTTGCAAGTTACAGTACAAAACATGTACAACCATGTCCTTTTTCAGCTGTTTATTTTAATCTTGAGTTTTTCTTTGTCATTGGGATGTTTCCTTTTCTTTTTGTGTTTTACTGTTAAAAACCTTTGTCCAAACTAAACAAAATATGTACAGTATATTTATACAAGATTAAGCACATTCAGTAAAGTTTACTGTTTATTAATATCCCATAATTGAGTGTGAAGAAAGGTGGTATCAGATATTTTTACTAATGTAAAATATGTGAACCCAGGTCCTTAATTTGGATCTGTCGTTATCCCTGAGTAAAAGCTTGGTTTGTGAGCAGTGTACAGTAATTGTATTAAGGAAGATTTTGCCATTTGCTTACACAATGGATGTTTTTTTCAATGGTAGTATATAAATTGCAGTTGTGATTTTTAAGAGATCTATTAATAGAACATCATATCACTATATGTAGTAGGGTCATAAATATAAGCAGGTGTGCCCTCATAAAGTTTCATTACCTGTGTCATCGCTTATCTTTATTCTTGATCATCCAGTTGTGTTTGGTGTGCATGTTTTCCACATACTGGAACCTGCGTCATGTCATTGAGTAACACCTTTGGAATTTAGAAGGAGGACAAAGAAGTTTCATGTAAGATGTACACGTAGCGAAAGTAAGGTTTGTAATATAAAGCACAACTCATCAAGTAGTCTGTGACATACTGTAATACAGTTTATAAATAATACGAAAACACAGTTAGAGGAAGAAAAAGAGTGTTAAATGCTAATCTAAAATGTTTTAAGGAGTTGTTTTGTTTAAATGCTTGGTCAGGGTTTTTGCAAATATATTTTACTTTTTGCAATGATAATCACTTTGATTAATGTGAATCCTACAGTAGTTCTTTATTTTACACGCACTACATTTTTGTGTAACTGAAAGGCCCTTTTGTTTTAACAATCCATTTACGGGGTGGAGAAATTTTCTTAAGTGTTTTTACATACTATGTTTTAATCCTTTACGATTGCATGCCAGCTGGAAAACCAGATCATACAAAATAAACAACAGTAGCAGGGTTTTCCACTACACATCCTTTCTTTTTGTATCCTTGGATTTAGGGTATAGTCTGATGTCAGAATGTGGCTTTATTAAAATAGAAAAAATGCAGAATTTTTAAGACCCTCTAGTACATGTGCAGTGCATTGAAATTCTGGCCCCAAAATGGAGTCAGTAGTTTTGAAAACCAAAATTGCAATACTAGTCAGTAGCATTGTATTACATCACGTACAATAGGACCCAGCAGTCCCTCATCTCATCAGTGAAACAGTCAACAACAGCCTAACTTCAGAACCACAGCCCAAGGTAAAGACCTGTACTGTAGCTTTCCAGTTAAAAAATGACTTACAATATTAGAATATAATTCAGAAAATGAATATACAGTAAGAATTCGGAATATGTATACTGACTCAATAATAGCGATTCTCATGTTTTTAGAATGAAAACGCTTAACTCTTTGAAGTTCCTTGGTTAGTTCATTAAGTTTAATACTCAACCATAAGACTAAATATCTTTCTAAGTACGCCATTGATAAAGTCATTGAAAACACAGGGAAGGCGAATAGTACAAACAATATTAATATTATATTAGTCTCTCAGTAGCACTGTAAGTACAGTCTACTCAACAATCAAGAAATGGATAATCTCACTCGGACACTACATTGATCAAACCTTTACCCCAAACCGAGTGGGCAGGGGGGAAACTAGTCCTGTGTGGCCAGTGATAGCTTTGAAAGAGCTACAGAGCTCAATGTTTAGGATTGGAGAAAATATGCATCAGTCAACAATATCCAGAACACTTGACAAAAGTAGTTAGAATGCCAGGCAAGATGGAAGCCATCATTAAAAATATGCCATCTCAAAGTACTTGAGTGATTCTGCAAAAATGTGCAAAAGGTGTTCCTGTCACACAAAACAAAAATGGATCTTCTTGCTCTAAATATCAGGTCTTCATCAAATGTAATGCTCAACACCATCCCTACAGTGAAGCATGTTGATGACAGCATCATACTGTGGGACTGGAATGCTTCGTCAGAATTTAAGGAAAGACGGATGAAGTAAAGTATAGACAAATACAACATGATAAACTTGTTTCAGTCTGCTAAGTACATAAAACTGGTTTGAAAATTCCCCATTCAGCAGGACAGTAATCCAAAGCACAAGGTCAAAGTTAAACTGAAGTGGTATAAAAAAGTGAATGCCATTGAGTGGCCCTGAAAAAGTCCTGGGTTGAATCCTACTGAGGTTCTGTAGAAAGACTTGTAATCTGCTATCCATTAGTGATACCCAAGCAACTGGAAAGAGCTTAATCATATCTACCTATAGATAGATAAAGCCTGAGTGCAAAGTTGGTAGAGATTTACCCAAAACGTCTGGCAAATGTAATTGCTGCCAAATATTTGAGTTCACGTGTCTGAATACTTTATGCACTCGGCATTGACCTTTATTGTAACTTGTTTTATCCTTATAAGTCCCCAGTTTGAGCATTTAGGTTTTGAATAAAATACTAAGTTTAAAAAATGTGTATGCATCATTTGTAGTTTTATAAAATAAGACGGTGTATATATAGGGTCTCAGGTTATTTGTAAGGCACTGTAGGTTAGAAATACTGGCCTTAATAGCTTACCTACTGTATCTAGTAAGTAGGTCCATAATAACTATTTAATATGTTTTTAGAAAAACATTGTCCCATAAAAAAGTTGTTTTATGTATGTCATGAACATATGTATTGTCTTTTACTTTTATTTATACTGCAAATAATAAATGTATTTTTATATAATAGGCTTCATGCTAAGATACCAAACTGCAGTAGAGGCCAGTTTCTGACTGCATGTTACTGTTCTGCATGCTGGCTAAGTGGCATCTTCCTTTCAGTTACTTTTCAGTCTTGTTTATTTGAATTTGAAAGGATAACATTTTAAGACAAAATCCCAAATGTTATCCCAAGAGTCAACAGAAAAAACATCCCATTGGTTATGGGTCTCTCATTTGGAGCCAGATAATAAAACTAAATACAATTTATGCTGACATACCAAGCCTCACATCTGTTGAAATATAATTCAGCTAAAACTAAAACTGCAAGTTAGACACACAGACAGGAAAATGGCTCAGCAGATTCAGATGTCCTGACCTAATATTCACAATGTCTGTGGCAATTTGCCTGAGATTTTCTTTGGTCTTTCATTGCCTCTAAGTTCAGTCAGACATCTAT